CGGTTTTTATTTATAGGGTAGTTTCTGTTGACACAGACTTTTGGAAGTGAGTGCTTGTGCCAGTAGAAGGACATGAAAAAATGTGAGCACGTGCTAAGCGTGGGAGAATTAGTAACTCAATTTTGACGTAAATTTCATAAAATAATAAAAATGACAGTAAATTATGTTTGATGTGTTAACAGAGAAAAATGGCAATTTTGCAAGTTCAAAATACTTACATGATGATACATTGCCAAGTATACTCGAAAATTGTGTCAAGCAAGGAAGATACTTTTATGAGATACAGAAGCAAAGAAAACAGAAATTACGCTAACCTTGCAGTAAAGACATTATTACTTGAAAAATATGATCAATAATGTATCACTTTACAGTATGTCAAGAAAGTGTTTTCAAAATTTTATTGACTCAAATAAAATTTAATGTACATTTAAATAGAAAAGAATTATACCTGCTCATATCAAGAAATAACAACTTTTCTAATTGATTTCTAATATAATATTTTACGGGAATACTTAACAAGGTCTAATATGTATTTAAATAGAAGAGAATTATAACTACTCATATCAAGAAATAACAACTTTTTTCGTTGATTTCTAATGTGATATTTTACGAGGATACTTAACGAATCCTTATATGTAAGTAAGTTAGTAAATATGGCTGAGAAAAACAACGCATAGACCTACTAGATCAATACCAACCAGTCTGTAAAGAGAGCGAATAATCTAGTAGATTCGTAACGATATTATTTAGAGTCCAATATTAAAGCCAAATAATAACGTTAGCAGTCTTAGATGTTTCTTAGCCAATGACCTATCGTAGCAATCATCAATAAGTAGCTAATGTCGAAAAGAGTCATAATGATCAAAGCAATATTCGTAGCTGTATCACTTAAAAGCAGCTGTTAAAGGCAACTTATAGATCGTTACGCTAAGATATTATATTTCTTAGATTGTGTAGCACAAGTACTCCAAATGGTTCGAAGAAACAAAACTGCACCAAAACCCTAATCATTTGTAGGGACACCAATCACAGCACTTAAAAGCAGCAAATGATTTAATAGATTTGAAGCTACACTTATTAGAGTCCTTAAACACTGTTAAGTGTTTACACTGTTATTGTAAATTTCTTAAGATATGTGTAGCGGATAATGTACTCCAAATTTAGGAACGTAGATAAGTTACATAAAACTGGAAGCCCAAAAAGTTGTGTACGATATTTAAAATATACATACATAATAAAGAAGTATAATAAGATACGTAAGAAAGAGTCCTATAGCATTTAGCCTTAACATCTCTGTTAGGTTTTGAAACAAAAAAGGATAAAAATCAGGCATTATCAATATTTAAAATCCTTAAGACAATTAGTTTATTTTACAATAAAAATATCAAATATTAAAAAAAATTAACCAAATAAGCAATATACAAAATTTAATACATTTGTATATGTATATGAATGTCTAAAATCAATATCACTAAAATTAAGCTTTAAGTAATGAATTAATACTTGAAGAACACATATTATCCACTAATCTTCTTATATCTTGAATTTATTTCCTTCAGTTGGTATATCGATGAACGATATAAATATATATCGAAAGTATATATATAGTACTTTAAAACTACTACTAAATCTTTTTTTGGTACGTCTCACTTAAGGCTTCAAAAAATTATTATTCACTTAACATACGAAGAAGAAGCTATGCAGATCAGTCCAGTATTTTCACTTTAATTATGACTCAATCATTTAAAAAACACCAATAAAAACCAATAAATCACAGATAAAAACTAAATCATTATATATCTATTGCCTTAATGAGTCGAGGTTAGATGGACGGAGCAGTTGACAAAAGCAGACTAGTTAGAAATTGAAAATAAATTCATTATTTTTGTACATTCTTATTAATTCCAGATTTACATAAACAAAATGTTTAAACCAATCATTTTGTTTATACTTTCTGATTTGAGATTTAGATAGTCGCATCACTTGGCAGAAGAAAATTAAAGCCAATGAACTCCGAATGAAAATCAAATTAATTTAATCTCAAAATATTCAATACTTATATATAAAAATATAATGAAAAATCAACCTAGTTTTGTGAATAAAATATCGCAATCTTTGGAAAAGCCGGCTTAAGTATTCTTATATCAATAAAAAGTAGATATACATATTTACGTATTGTTGTTTATAAATAAAAATATGTAAAATATATGAGAATTAAAATTTTTATTACATTTTGCTTTATTATGAAGATTTCATTAAATAATTTTCATTATTTTACTTATTATTTTTCAAATACTAAAAGTACTTTTTATTTTTGTGTTTCAGCTATTATGTTATAAAGTTATGCCATATTTTTTTTTCTATTATTGTTAGATATAGATATCAACATTAATTAGGGTATTTTTAAATTAATAAAAATTCCTGAGAAATATCATTAAGTCAATTATGAAATCATATTAGCCTATTATATTTATTATACTCTTAAGACCTGAACTTTTAAACCGCTTGTTAATAGACGCTGTTATCATTACTAATCTGCAAATTATTATATTTCTATCTTAGACGTAATCATTGTATATAGAGAAGATATTGGTACCGGGTTTCGTAATACACATTGAATATTTTTTTCGGACCGCTGTAGGTTATAGATTGACAAAGATTTTCATTTTAATGAGAATCTGCTATCTTATTTAAACAATTAAAATTTATAAACAGAAACATACAGATGCACTTCATATTTTCTCTTAAAATCCATTAAATTTCTAAAATAAAATTATAAAAAAAAATAACAGATTTTAAAAAAAATGTACCTATATAGTTATATATATGGTATAATAGTTATTTTCGTTCCATTTGTTCGAAATTTTATTTAAAACTATTAAATATTAAGTATTATTATTTAAAATTATTAAGGATTAAGTATTCTTAAATCTATTAATAGTAGATATAGTTACTTAAAAAGTACACACTGATCTCAAACGGATATTTTCAAATAGAGATTTAAATGGCTAGTCAATTTCACTTCTAAGATTTTTATGAAAAAATACTTCGATGACTGATCCTTAACACCAATTATAGTTAAAACAAAGAAGTATTGTTGTGCATAATTAAATAAAATTTTATAACTCACCAAATTTTTCATATTAATTTTAATTAATAATAAAATAATTGTTCTTGTTTTAATTTTAGTCTAATTAATATATTCCTATTATTAAAAAATAATTAAAATAATTTAAAAAAAAAATGTTTTTTTTTATAACGAATAATGGCTTCTAATTTTACTATACATATAATAAATAAAGAAAATAAATCTTACATAGTATTTCGCAAAAGAATAAGAAAACTTTGTGTTAAATATTAACTATTAAATATTAAATAAAATATTTAACCAAACAATTTAACGATTGATATTAGATTAAATTCAGATAAATTAAATTGAGACAAGTTAATATAATTAAAATCAAGAATAATTAAATGAATTTAATAAATTAATCATGCAAAATTAAATATTTGTTTAGATCAATTTCAATTATATTATAATATTATTTTAATAAAATATTATACATATTTTAATAATATTAAATGTTTTTTTTATTAAATAAATAAAATAATTACACGAAATTTATATAATTATAACTTAATTAATATATGGGGAAAAAAAATATTTATTCAAGAAATTATCAAGCTACTTAAATGACCTAAGACAAAAACCTAATTTAATAAACTTTCTTTGTAGGTAATTCGTGCTACAATAAATCATGACCAAGAGAAGAATGAACTTGTTTATCGGACATAAACAAACAAAAGAAGAAGAAGGCTGCTCACAGAAGTTCCTAACAGTTCCATTCAATTTTTGGCACATATTGAAATTCCAACAATTGGAAATGTCAAACTGTAGCATTAAAATCATCCCCAAAGCATGAGGGCACGTTTTGCTTTTGTTATTAAATTCGAAGTTCGAATTAAAATTTGCCGCCAACTGTTATAACGTCACCCACCCTCCTATTCGCATGGCGTAAAAAAAGGGGTTGCAGAATTAGTCACTTTGGCACACAAATGTTACGCTTGCAAAGTGCAATGAATCCATTGATTTAAAATGCATAGTGGGGTGCATTTTTAATGCAACTCGAAATTGTGCGTGACGATTTGCATTCTGATTTGAATTAAAGTTATATTCGGTTTATGTGATTTTCTTTTATAAAATTATGTATGGTATATCTACGGGTACATACAATACATCTAAATTTTTATTGCTTTGCATGGTTTCTAGGGTGTTAATTTTCGCATTGGGGTGTTGCTGGGACAATAACCTAAATGTTGTGTACATTAAATTAGTACATACATACTTATTATTTCGTTCTAATATTAACAACGTACTTTATATACATCGGGAATGATTTTTCTTTAACCATAAGTGGATAATTTTTTACAGATCATTAATATAAGTACATTACTTTTATTGGAGTACATTAAATTGATTGAATTTTATGTAAAATTAATTATGAAAATTACATCGAAATCTCTTCATCGAAGAATATTTTCTAATTAAAATAAAAAGATTTTTTATCTAATATCATATCAATCATTTAATTATAGTTAAAAATTTAATAGCAATATAAATATACATTATATATAAAATTGTGCTTTTGAAATTCTATTACACCCTAACACATCCTCAAAGCACATAATAGAAGTCTGGCCAGCACTTATGCATAAATGAAAGAAATACAGAATTGAGAATCTTGTATCGAACGAAGAACTAATACTTAAGTAGTAGTAGGTAAATTGTAGAATTACAATATATCACAGCAATTAGATGTAGAAAAATATCCCGAATCCATAAGGGTGGCACAAAACATGCGTGAATAATAAAATATGTCTTTATATTTTGTTTTTCGTTTATCTCTTTCTTGCCTTGGTTTTCATGTAGAAAAATTTATAATTCTCAGCGACTTGAATGCTGTATTTCTGTAAAAGCGGAATGTCTCGTTGGTAAAATTAAGACTATACTTCACAGGATCATTTCTGTAGTCAGTCTTCTTTTACTTTAAATGCAAAGTAAACACACCTTTACCCGCGATGAGGAGGTATATCGGTTTGTCTGTAGCGTGAGGATATGAGTATTTTCCCTAATCTGATTCGTATCAGAGTTTGGGAGGAAATATTCTTCGATGATCGCTCGGTTAAACAGGCAAAACGACTTCTGAGTGGTAAACCAACTTATACTAATACATTCACCAATGCGAAACTCGATCTACTTTCTAGCTAGAAAATTTCATCTGTTGAATTTTAGTATGTCTTACGAAAAGTCAGATCTAGCTTAGATTCACGGTTGCCACTTATGGTACTTTAGTACCAAAATTGGTACTTTTTTTCCGTTTGGTACTCATGTTCAAAAAATGGCGACCCAACTTTATTGTGGATATTGTATTGTTTTATACTTTTTGTACATTTTATATAAATTGTATTTTCTTATAAAAAGACAATAGAAAAATTTTGGACCTTTTTTTACAGAAATGGTACCTTTTTAAACCAATTTTAGTACAGAAAAAAATTTTCAAGTGGCAACCGTGTTTAGATTATGTATCAAAATCTTATAAAATCGTCAAAGACACGATAAAAAAATATAAATTCTCGTTACTGTTTGATCAAATTTCATATATGTGTTCATTAACAAGTGGTTAAAAGGTTGAGGTGAAGGAGTATAACAATTGTAATAGAATAACATGAATTCATAATTGACTTAATGATATTCCTTAAGAATTTATATTAATTTAAAAATACCCTAATCAATGTTGATATCTATTTCTAACAAAAATAGACAATATACCTAATGTAGTTTTATAACATCTAAAACGCAAAAAATAAAAAATTCTTTAAGAATAAACAATATTAAAAAACAAAACAAAGTAACATAACGAAAATTATTTAAAGAAATTTTCATAATGAAAAAATATATATACTAAAAATTATAATTCTCATGTATTTGATATATTTGTACTTATAAATAACAATATGTAAATTTGTTTAGTGTGACAATTTTGTTTTAATATAACTAGGCATTATCTTGACTATCATTATCTTCTGGATTATTCTCTTGAGTGTACTTTCGTTTTTATTCAAATACGGAAAGGCACATAAACATCAATATTTTTTATTTTCAGAAACATATATAGATATATTATAAATATATACTATTTAATATTAATATTCTAATATTTAATATATTTCATATATCTTATATATATAATTCTTCTGTACGTGTGTTGACAGTGAACTCCTCCTAAACGGCTGAACCGATTTTGATGAAATTTTTTGTGGGTGTTCAAGTGGATTCAAGGAAGGTTTAGATTCGCAATTTGGCCCACTGGATAATGTCTTTTTAATTAATTTTTTATTTTTTGGTATCCATACACATTTATATTAGAAATTTAAAATTTATTCATGCTTACTTTGATTTGTTTAAAAAGTTTAAAATCTTTAAAATGAATAGTAAAACTGCCGTTGCATTAAATGTCTAATATAAATGTATATGAATACCAAAAAACTGTATAATAATTAAAAAACGTTATCCAGTGGACCAAATTGTGAATCTAAATTATCGTTGAATTCACTTGAACACACACAAAAAAAGAATTATATATATAAAGATATAAATAACGTACAAAAAATAATGCCACGTCTTCGTGGACGAGGAGGAAATATTGGTCGACGGAGTCGGAATTCACAATTACTCTAGAACCGTCGGTTAAATAGATCGGCAGAAAACAATGAAAATGTAAGAAACCAGGATACAATCACACGTGCTAATGAAAGTCAAGAGCAACGCAACGAACGCCAGGAAAATTAATTGCAAGGGGAAACAACGTTCGCTGGGTCAGCTAGTATATTATATAAATATATATATATATAAATATATATATATTATTATATTTATATATTATATATATTATAAATTATATATTTATATTATTATAATATTATAAATATATATTTATAGTTAAATTTATATATCTGCATATATTTTTTAAAGATCGTTTATAAAAATTATTAAATACAAGGCAAAGCAATTTAATCTTTTTCTGTTTAAGCACATAATAATCTACTAGAAAGTAAGAAAGAACATAATTATTTTTGCACATGAACAAAATGGGTGTTAACTTCTAACAACCCATACCTATATATATGTAGTAATTATTTATACCTAAAAGCATACATTATTATGCATTAAATTTCTTGTTTAATTTTTCTTGATGGCTTGCAACAACAATATCGAGTGGCAACGTTTTTATTTAGTTTAAACACGCGATATTTATTCTTACGCTCTGATTTACGAACATCTAAATAAAATTCAATTAAAGCCAACATAAAATATTAATAAATGTTACATTAGTAGTAATAATATATGCGTAAAGCATAGTGTTTCGCATACCAAAAATATCTTTGGATTATTTAATAGAATGTATCCATACTAGAACCTAATACTTTTCTGCTTATTGCCTGATAAGGCATCATTAAGTTTTCCTTTAACTTTTTCTTAATAAGTTAATAATATAGAGTATTTTGAGTTTAATAAAAATATAAATGGTATCAATTATTATATTAACAGATATAGAGATATACAGAGAAAAAGAAAAATGAGATATTAAAAAAAAAAGGGATCAGAATGACAGAGCAAGGAGTAGTAAAATGAGATAGAATAGGTTTAGTGTCTGGCTATATAACTTATCTAAACTATGGGTAATAGAATGGATGAAAATATTATAATCTAAAGATTAAGAATTAGTCTGAATGTACATATAACACAAAATTAAAAATTGACTCTTTGATCAACAATAGACAATTTTGTAGAAAGATATGCAGCTTGAATTTTCGATAGCTGTTAGCTAGGAACAATAATATTTAAATATTGTAAAGGATTATATTTCATTACTTCTAAGATATCAGAAGCAACAAGAGGTACAGTAATCGAAACATCGGAATGTTTACTGCACCTAAGCTACAGATGGACAAACTATAGGAAAAATAGATCGTCAGCCATTGTTAATTTATTTCATATTAATAAACTGTTCACGAATTATAAGACATATGTTAACCGACTTTTTCACCGCGTCATAGACATAAACTTTATGTATCTTTCAATTCTTTATGTGTGTGAAGAGTATAAAAGGAAACACAATAATATATTTTATACTTTTAAAGCCAAAAAAGCTGTAAACTTTTGATTTAAAAGGCAAACATTATTTAATACTCAGTTGCTTCATAAATACGACATATTTTGACGACATCATTAGAGACTATAATCTATGGACGCTTTATTTGGGAGACTAGTACAAGCTATATATTTAAAATTGAAAAAAAATTAAATATTTTTTTTTGGTAATTAAAGCAACAACGCTAAATTTTTATTTTTTTTTAAATGTAAATTAATTCAAAATGAATTGCAAATAAGAATAGTCACCGCACAATTACGAATAGGTCCTCAGAGAGCTAAACAACTTGTTGAGTCACGTCAGTCCCATGTAGTGATTAATTTTATGTTTATTTATTTGAAAAAAAAATAAATAAGTAAAATGTACTAATAATGTATTTATTTAGTTCACCATTTGCCTAATGCTTATAAAAAAATTTTTATTCACTTGATTTTATGATAAAATTATAAACTAATTTTTGAAAACAGTTTTATACAATTTTTCCGTAGCTAATTTTGTATAAAACCAAATTTGAATTAAAAGTTAGTAAATAACTAAAACAACTATTAATACATCGAGCATAATTAAGGCCGCCAAATGCTGCTATTTATAAACAAAAGAAACACATTGACCGCAACATATTTTCTTGATCATCATCGTTGATGCTAAAACACACATTAATATTTAATTAAGTTTAAGAAAAATTTAATTTAATTTTAAAATTATTGTCTTTTTAGATTTAGAATTATGTAGGCATTTATATATATATATGAGCACATAAGAATATAAATTGAAACTCGTCGAAATCGGGCGCGTGATATTCTTATGCACATGCACTTAATGACATGGTGCAGTTTTATTTGAAGAAAAAAACATCAAATGAAACATAAATAATTACATAAATTTTAATATCTCATATTTTTATAAACTTTTGAAATAATTCTTTCATTTACACGTTTATATAGTTTTCAAGAAACTTTTTGAAACACTTACACCTAAACTCTGTAACGATGGAAAACGTTTCTTTAACGTAAGCATTTTCACTTAAAATATTTTTAACCACTTTTCAAAAATATTTTTTCACATTTAAAAAATTTTTTTTGGTTGAAAAATGAAAATATTTCAATAAAAATATTCGGCCAGACAATACCAGACGCAAAGCAGACAATTGACGAGATATCGTAGAATAAAACAATATTGTATATTTTCATTTTGGGTTGAGCATAATTTTACCTCAGGCCCATGCAAATCAACGGACTATCACATGTGGAAATGGCTGTGTCAGAGCGAATTGAGTACATGCTTAATCTAAAGCTTTCTATTTTTAAATATATCTATAGAGCAGAAACCCTCTAGAACTAAACTGCGGTAATATGAAATAAATGTTTGAGAAAATAATTCTAAAAAGCAAATTTAATGTTAAGCTCAACGAAAAATATTACAGATGTTTTCAGTTTGAGCATTGAGTAGATAAAATAGTATTAAGGAAAAAAGTTTTTTAATAAAATTATTTTATATCAAAAGACTTGATGTTAATAACATCGGTCGGCCTCAAATAAGTTTATAGAACGCTTTCATTACATTGTGTGTTTAATATTTAAACAAAAATTAAAAATCTGATTTATTTAAAAAAAAAAAATTATTTAGTAATCATTTCAATGTTGGGTCAATGTCATATAAACTGATGCAGCTCTTTTGTATCTAATAAAAAATACAGATAATATTTTAAGTATTTGTTTTTTACCGAGCTATAAAATAATATAAAACAAAAAAACAACCTAAAACGCAGCAAAACAAAAAAAACACAAATACTTATAAACAATTAAGGTCGCTACTAATCGTCACAAAAAAGGAACAATTTTCTCAATCCAAATCAATTCTTGAAGAGATAAACAGTAGCTCTTTTAATCTGCAGAATTTGTCAAGGAAAGATATATAGTAAATGAGGCACAGTGTTCTTAATCCAAATCAATTCTCATAAAGATAATCTGTAAACCTTATTACTGCCACCTTTTTACCATAAGATGAGACTAAAGAATGCTGACATGTGAGAATTTGTCAAGGCAAGTTGTATAGTAAATGAGGCAGTATTCTTAATCCAAATCAATTCTTGAAGAGATAAACAGTAGACTTTTTAACTGCCGCATTTCTAAGCTGAAACTATAGAATGCTTATATCTGTAGAATTTGACAAGAGAAGATATATAGTAAATGAGGCACAGTCTTCGTAATCCAAATCTAATCAAATCTTAATCTAAAGAATGCTGACATCTGTAGAATTTGTCAAGAGAAGATATATAGTAAATGAGGCACAGTCTTCGTAATCCAAATCTAATCAAATCTTAATCTAAAGAATGCTGACATCTGTAGAATTTGGCAAAAGATGATGTATAGTAAATGAGACATAGTCTGCTTAATTCAAATTAATTCTCATAGAGATAAGCAGTAAGCTTTATCACTGCCTCCTTTTTACTATAAGATGAGATTAAAGAATGCTTACATCTGTAGAATTTGTAAAGAGAAAATGCATAGTAAATGAGACAGTCTTCTAACTATATATAGCAGTAACAGTAACAATTTAATCTTATTCCAAAATAATATAAAAACTTATTTATTTTCATTTATTTCCAATTAAACATGTTATGTATGAACTCAACATAGCTTTCAGGCAAGTATTTATTTAGATCAAAAATTTAAAAATAACATATTTAAATCAATAACGATTATGTTTGCTTTTATTTTTATTCTTTTTGATGATACAGTGCAAAAAATATTGATTTTTTATAAAAATAAAATTCATATATTTTAATCATTTAGGGTGGTTGGTTTGGAACCACACCCAAGGAATATTCAAAATAATTTATTAGTTAAATTATGTTTTATTTCGAATAATTTAATATTCGGAATATTTAAGTTAGTATTTGAAATAAATTAATAATAATTACTTATAAAATACATATATTAATATGTATATTTAATATATATATAATATTTATATTTATAAAAAGTAACAATTTATATTCTGAATAATCAAATATTCGGAATATTTAAGTTTGTATTTGAAGTAAATCAATAAATTTTTTTTTTTGATTTAAAAAGTAATCACTTATCAACTTTAAATAAACTAAAAATTAGTCAAATAATATTTCTAGTTATTAAAAATTAACTAATTAGCTAAATAATTATTATTGTTAAAATTTAATAAATTTAAAATTGAACTCAAAACCACATTAAAAATTTAGGAACTTCAGCAATAAAAATAATTTTCAAAAATAAAAACAACAGGAAGTAGTGTCACCATATGTTTATATGGACAATATTGTATACATTTTACAATTATTCAACTCTGCCATTAAAGTTCCTAACTCTAAGATGAAATATGAAAAATAACTCAGTTGGAAACTGAACGATCCGTTTTCGAAGACATCTTGAAGACATTGATAATAGACACTAAACACATATGTACATTATAGTCAGACGTCATCAATTTAAGAATAATAGACAAACACTGGCAATAACATCTCTTTAATAAAATTACTGAATTAAAAATTGACGACACAGAATCATTGGATTATACGATTTTGTATGGATTTTGTATTAAAAATAGTACATAATAGCGCAAATTTGTTGATCTAAGTACAATAAACTAAACATAGCATTAGTAACCTTACCACTATTTCAAGGTTTAAAATATAAGTAAATGATCAAAATTTCTAGGGACCCCCCCCCTTCTTCAATTCACTTGAGGATATCTCCAGCATTAGCATTAGCCAGATTCTTGTCTTTGTTAATGCCTCTAGCTGCTTCTAGTTTGACCTTCTATCTACTACCCACTATTTTTGTGGATTCAAAACGGTTTTTTGGCTAATTGAGAAGGACTCGTCCGCCGTCCACCTCAGCTAACTAACTAACGTCTATATCGAAAAATTGTAATTTACAAATTTTTGGTATCCTGATTGCTTATTTTATATTTATAAATATAAAAAAAATGGATAGTAACATTGTTTTAATAACAATCGCAAAACTCTATATTAAGAATTTGGAAACTGGATTGGAAACGGTTTCTTCACCAACCATATTACAAATATTGTATTAATCGTTTAATCCTTCAAAAAATAGGTCCTATATCTAAATCTAACAAAATAATCCGTTGAAACAGATTTAGTTTCAAAAACAAATGCTTATATTCAAAACAGGCTTGTTCATAAAACCCTTTCCTCATTGCGCATTTTGCCCACTTATCCTCGACGACCAACAGCAGCTCATAACTTCAGTGTTTTATCCTTCAATAAAAATAAAGGTTAAAGTAGTACTTCTCAAAAGCAGTTGTATTAATCGTGTTAAGACAATAACAACGACAAACGGAGCACTTCTAAGTATCTTATTATTTAAAAAAGATCCCAAAAGAAAAACATTACTTAAATAAAATACATTAATTCAGCTGCGGAGGCCATCCACTCAAACATATTTATTAATTTCAAAATATCAAAAGATGTTATGAATTTTACAAAGTAGTCTTATAATAACATCTAGTAGTTCCACACAGACTAGATTTTACCAAGGTTTTTATGTTCGAATTAAAAAATGTTTTGTTTTCGAATTCTGTCTGCGAACGGTTTACGAAAATTGTATTTAAAGTTTTTGTAAAAAATAGGGTGTGTGTGTGTAAATATTTGCCAATCTCTAGCCAGTGTAGACCCAGTGATATTCATCAAATTTTTTGACATTTGAAAATTCTTAATTATCTTACTATTCTTATTATTATCACCATCATCAGTTTCTCTATCTCCCACTGGAACATAGGGCCTCAATAAAATACTTCCATCTGGTTGTTCAGCTCATTCTACGTCTCTTAGCTATAATACTATTTATTATAGTTTATAGTTTTCTTTTTAATTTTATTTTATTTAATAAAATAATAAATATTTCGTTTTGTTTATATTATATTTCTACTTCTTCTATATTTTTTTTAAATTTTTTATATACTTCTAATATTTCTCATTTACACCACCGTGGTAAATGTTAATGGTTATAAATAAGAACTTTAATATATTCACATTTTTTCCTTTTTTTTTTTTGTGGTTTGACCTAACGAACGAGAAAAATCAGTTCAAATTTAATCCCTCAATCCTTACAGAGGCTTACGTCATTTCTAAAAATCGAACTGATAGATACACAGCAGCACAAATACATATTCAATAGAAGTATTCAAAAAAGCATAGTATTACATCATCTTAAGGAATAACTAGGAACAGGAGATGTGACTCAGTAAAGCAATTCTCAATTAAAAAATTCTCGACAAATAATGTATATGAGAATTATGCTATTAAAATTCTATTTGCACGTTGAATAGAAAATTTTAATTGAAATGGGTAAATGATTTTAATTAAAAAAGTACTTACCGAGCTTTGATGTCCGCTAGGACAATGTTCATGCTTGCCACCAACACCGTGTTTGCCATGAAGAATATTTTCCTTGTGTCCTGTTGGCGGTGATGCGATCTGTAACGGTGGATTTTGATGATGATGATTGTGATGATGATTCGAGTGGTGTTGATGATGGTTGTGAGCTGTAGGTGGTGAAGGCATATTGTGTCCACTATGTGGTAAATGCGATGAATGCTGTACACCAACTTGATGACCATGATGATGCGGTACATGGCCTTGTGAGGCCTCCAACAATGTTGGCTGTATATGAGTGACAAATTGGGCCATTTCAACACTACACTTAATATTTATTCACTTAATATTTAATTTATCAAATTTTGAACAAAATACTTTTTAATAAAATACACAAATGTGTTTAATATTTATAACAAATAAAAGAACTACGCACAACCACGCACACACGCTTAGCACATTTAATTGCACAAAATATTTATAAACTCTTGAAATATTTTTTTTATTTATAAATTATTATATTTTTTGTGTATATTTACTGCTGCGTGTAAATATTGTATTCAATCACTGAAAAGCTCATTCATTAAACAATCACTTTAATTATTTATATATTTTCTTAAAAAATTTGGAATTTTCACAACGATTAGGTAATCTCCCTTTTCTTCTACTTAAATGATTTTATTTTTCACATTTTGTGGGTATACTAAAAAATTAGTGCAGTGAAAGCCAGTGTAGCAAAATTTCACAAGTTTCCGCTTTGTTTTCGGGACAACCTTTCTAAAGGAGCAATGCCAAATAACTGATATAATTTTCCCTGCTGCTATGCTACTTGCTATGGCAGGATACGACGAATACTTTTGCTCATCGGTATCTACACCATGCGAAATTGTGCCACTATCGCACACAGTGTGGTATGTAGATGATGCCGTTGCCGTTGCCGTTGCCATTGCCGTTGGTCTGCTCCGGCCGTTAACTTGGCTTTTAAACTTTCGGGTGGTGGTAGGTATGCCATCTTCCAAGTGTTTATTTAGCTGCTATTTTATCTGGGAACAGAGTTTGGGGTAATATTTGTGCTTATTTCTTTAATATCATCATTGCGTCGGCGTTAAAGCTAATCTGTTTATTAAGGATATTTAAACTAAGTTTTTAATTAACGTTCATTATGAATAAAGGAAACAAATTAAGAAGTTAACTTGAATGTATAAATTGCTCCAGTACAAAAACAGAGATAGGCAATGTGAAAAATAGAAAAAATAATAAATTTTTTTTTTTTTGCTATTATATATTGTATAAATTTGATTTCAAAGTCAATATGATAAGAGTGACTATTTTTACTTCAATAGAAACTCAAATACTGCCATAAAGCAATTACACTAAGCACAAAACCTGGCTATAAGAAGACTATTTAAGATTCCATGATATATTAGAACAACAAATATGCATGTAGACATGCACAAAAAATCTACTCAGTGAAAAAATATATCAGGGACGTGCCCTAAAATTATTCCCAAAAGTTGATGCGCTACGCAAGCCCGCCTTAACAAACCTCAAGTTCCCCTCCGGACCCACAGGAAGATATGCTGGTCTACAGTTGACCTATAATTAAAGTTTAGTATGGAACTGGGATAAGCCCCCCGGCCACAAAAGAGTAAAACTGCACAATAGCACTAACTCAAGAAATCACAACAACAAAATAAAATTAAAATAATTTTTGTTGTTGCAATTCACTACTATTTAAAACCTGTCTATTAAATACCAGAATTTCTATTAAAATAGAAAGAGACACTACTGTCATATTGACGTAAAAATTAAATATTATTAAAATTAAAAATTAAAAATATAGGTATTCAATTCGCAAATTGTAGAGTAGCTGACGCAAATCGTAGAGTAACATTAGCATGGCTTTTTCCGTATTACGTTCTTAGATAAGGTTCAATGCACAAGAAAGAAATAAACTCATGCAATAAATAATGCCTCTACAAAAGAATAGTATTGAAATTTAACAATAAAAAATAAAAATAAAATATAATTAATTTATTTAATTATTCTACAGCTGGTTTATGACTTCGTTTTAATATAACAAAGTAAATGAATTTGTTAATCAACTATCACAGAAAATTAATAAAAAAAAACTCCAAGTTGAACATACAAGTCAAGTACGGCTTTGGGTCAGTAGGCTAATGAACATTGAATCTGAGATTCAAATTTGACAGAGTACGAGCTGAACTCTTAGTACTTGCAGTCTCAAAAAATTAAACACTTAAATAATAATTAAATAATAAATAATTAAATACAAGAATTAATTCCAAGACCGCTGATGATAGATATTTGGCTATACTCGAAACAGCTTTATGGCCCGCCAAAAACTCAATTAATTAGAAAGAAAAGAATATAAAAAAAATTTTTTGTTGTTGTAATTTACTACTTTTCGAAACCTCTATTATATTTTGTGATAAAATATATACAAATTTTTCATTAAAAGTTTATTATGCTAAAATAAGAAAACTATTTTGAATCGAAAATGAAAGTAATAGAAGTGAGTGATAATAGTGGTAGATGAGGCAATTTTCAATCCAAGAGAAATTCGTTTAATCAAGTGATTTCTTGGACCATACATCAATTTCAGATATCACCATCTATACATCATTAGTGATCTTTGGAGAAAAATCTTCAAATGTTAAGAAATTGAAATCGTTCAAATTTAATACTGGCTTCACATGAGACCGTTGTTTGTAATTTTAGATGTCAAAAATTTTCATTTTGTATTGAAAGTAACAATAATTGACAGCTAAAATTACAAACATGACAAATAAAATTACAAACAAAACTTCAATGGATTTCACCGAACCGAATAAATTTAGGAAACTTAGTCAAGCTTATGAATACTGTGTACTCTGAAGTGTAGTTTAAGAAACTTTCTCCAGGAATATAAAACAGATCTCAAAAGTTGGAATTTAGCATTTTCTCTTCTACAATAACAGTAAATACACTAATTAATGCAGTAATTATAAAAAAAAAGCGAGTGCTAATGAGACTAAACTAGTGTCACAGTTCCAGTTACTAATTTTTTTTTTTTTGATTATTCTGACATTTATTTTTCACTTTGGCACTTTGGCAGGAAACAATGTTTCGGTAAAAGATGTGGTTGCCGAAGAATTGAATTCTAAAATACATATATATATAGTATCACATATTTGTGTATTAATATAAATAATAAAACTGAGTAGTAAACTTATTATTTATTCGTTTACGGTTTTAGTTAATATTACTAAAAAAAATTGTTAAACTTAAATTTTAGCAATTAAGAAAAGTTAATGGAAAAAATGCAACTCAATATGGAAAATGGAAAAAAAGAACCTAAGAATTTAGTGTTTAAGGCTACATCCACTCCACTATTTCTATACTTTAAATTTTACTTTCAAATACTTATAACACATATGACATATATCACTGTGTTTAAATATTACATTATTAGAACTGTTAAGTGCTATTGGTGGCGCATTCGATATGTACGCCGACATTTGTGAGACTTAATAAATGACACCCAATAGGGAGAAAACATTTATCAACGATTATAGTAAATATTCATATTTTATTACCCAGTTTATTACATAGTAAATCCACTGTGATATGTATTATAATGGATGTAGGTACTTTACTTTACTCCTAAGTTTATGCGATAACCTCTGATATCTAATAAAAACATGTGTTTGTAAAAATAAAATTTATTAACTGTAATCAATTTTGTGGTAAGGAATCCCTTTGTTATATATTTCTCTATATCATTGATGATTAATAAAGGTTATAGCAAAATATAAAATATGTACTAAAAATGTTAAATAAATGCTGTCAATTTAAACAAAGTTAATTTCATATAGCGTCATTATCATCAAGTATATTAACAATTATTAATGGAAGAAATATGAATTAGCAAATTATATGAAATGATATGCGATTTTTTTAGTCGTTATTAATTTAATTATTAATAATTATTATTATTTAATTTAATTATTATAACATTGATTTTAATCACATTATGGTATTAGGAACGTATACAGAAACTGATCTAAACGGGAAAAGGGGTTTCTAAAACTAATCCATATAATATTAATTTTTTCTTGGCGAAACTGACGTCTCTTATGACGAAAAGAAACTATTTCAAAGTTAGAATGGTTCTAATAGAAATGAAAAGACAACAACAAAAATTTTATTGAAATTTATTATTTGAAATTTATTTTATTGAAATTTGGCTGACCATACAACGCTGTTTTGAGTATTGCTAAGTACAAGGTGACAAAAAAACTTGGACCTTGAGCACTGAAAATGTGTGCAGTCTTGGCTACTTGTGGAAAAACACGATTAGTTATATCTCTTAATTTGACAGGCATGAGTTCTAAGTCTGACACTTGCAGTCCAAACAAATTATATACGGACTTTAAACTAATAAAAATTCGAATAGTTCCTAAGACCACTGATGATGACTACTTAGCAATATTCGAAACAGCGTTGTATGTTCAGCCAAATTTCAATAAATTAACTAAAATTTTTGTTGTGTTTTCATTTCTATTCGAACCCTTCTAATCCATATACTTATATATATTAAAAATGTTACAGATATTAATAACAGGATATTTTATTACATACTTTTTATAAATATAAATTGTTTTATACTTACCTAAAAGAGTTGTTATTTTTCCACAGTTTTAATTGGATTAAGATTGCATTAGAATTTCATTTTTTAGTGTCTTCTGTATCAAATTGTGTAGCAAATAATTTATATTGAAATAAAAATCAATACAATAATGCTGGAGATTTATTTTTGCCCTTTTAAAATACTTTCTGGAAAGCTGTAAAAACGAAATAATCGGCATGACATGTTCTTTCTAGATTTTCAAATTTTCTGAAAAAAAAATAAATATTTAATTTAATATATATTGTTGAAGATTTTAATTTTATATATTTTATAATATTATATATTTTATAATTTTAATTAATTTATAATATTATGTATTTTAAAATATTATATATTGTATATTTTATTGTATCGCTGCTTATTATACAGGGTTACTCTTTTTTTGGTGTCAATAGTATACGTAATTAAAACACACATGATTAAAATTTCGATCAAATTTTTATTTTAATGTATAAAATATATCATTCAAATATCCTTTGCAAGATACCATATACGATTAAATCGAATACTTGTCGACACATAGTTGACAAATAACTTGGCTATAACTTGCCGAATGTTCGATTTAAAAGCAACAAAAGTTTTAGGATTCTCTACATAAATACGATACTTTTTGTAACCACACAAAAAGTTCAGTGGTGATATATCGCACGATATTGGTGATCAATATTACATATCCGGAATGTTTCTAGTGCAACATACCCACAAAAAATTCTTCAAGCAAAAAGATGTTCGTCATACGTGAAGATAATTCGGCACGAAATGTACCTACTACATAAATATCACATTTCAGTGAGTTTTCACAATTCAAAGACGTTTAGCGATTGTAAAACGATCCATATTATAAGATTGCAGTACCAACAAATTATATGCAGACTATAAACTTATTAAAAATAAATTCGAATAATGCCTAAGATCACGGATGATGAGTACTTTTAATTATTCGAAAGAACGTTGTACAATCAACGAAATTTCAATAAATTAATTAAATTTTTGTTCTTGTCTTTTCTTTTTTATTCGAATCCTTCTAACTCTAAAAAAAATAGCTTATTTGTTGTCATAAGAAGTATAGCTTTCGGCAAAAATAATTAATTTTAGTTATTATTTAACTTAATATCGCATAAGTAAAATATATATATAAATTAATAAAAAAAGAAATAACAAACTAGTCCCTATATTCAAAAAAATGTCTACTAAAAAATTTACATAGAAGTTTTATTCTATCTATTATCTCTAGAAAGTAATTGATCTAGGTATAGTTTACAGCCAGCTAAATTAACTTTACATAAGCTAACTAAAATAAAAAAATAAAATAAAGCTTTTCTCTCTCTATTTTTTCCAAACAATTTCTATTAGTACATATATATAGAAGTTTTATTCTATCGGGTTTCGTTAGGGATTAATTGATCTAGGTATATGTTACCTTACAGCCAGTTAAGTTAACTTTACCTAAACTAACAAAAATAAATAAATAAATTATAAAATATAAACCATTCTGAACTCTTACTCCATAATTTTTAATCCCTATGTATATATAATATATTCACAACAGTTCTTCCCTCGTATTGTGTTTACAAAGTGAGCTTTTTGACGTAACAAACGTAACGTAAGCTTTGACGTAACGAATGACAAAATCGTCAACAAGTAGAAAGCAATAACAAAAACAGCCGCACTGTAAATAAAGCGGAGCAAGAGATAAAATACTGTAGAGTTGTTGTTGTTGTCGAAAAAAGTCCATAGTCCGCTTCGTCGAAATTTTGTTGCAGTGCTTGGGTGAAGTATACAAAAGTATAAAAATCTTTATTTATAAACGAGTGAGACGCAGTGCAAAGCGGACGGATTAAACTAACTGTGTGGTGCAAACTTGAGTGGTGGACTATTTTTTATCTACAATATATTTATTTTAAATATTTTTTTATAAAAGTTTAGAATCTATAAATTTTTTTAAATAAATCTAAACTCAAGTCCACTAAAATGGCTTTCTTAAATAAGGTAAATTTGAAAGAATAATAAAACACTTTCAAAATAAAAGAAAAAAAAAATAATATAGAGAAAGTGTTATCAGAGTGCAAAGTACAGCATGTGACGTCAGCAAATATTTCAAAATATATTTATAAAAAAAAACTTGTATATTATATTACGTATGTATATGTAACAGACAATTTAATAATGAACAAGAAATAAAATATTTTCCATCGACTTTGTCAGATGTGGGCAGGCCAAACCACTTCTGGGGGTCAAACTACAGTAGATAAGTAAACAAAATATCTCGGTCAAAGCAATTACGAATCAATTTTTGTATTTTTCGAACTGATAACGAGGCTCGTGAGGAACTAATTTTATGCTGGCTATTTTTTAATTATATTTGACTATTTTTAAATATTGTTTAGGGTTATTATTTATACCGGCCTATTTAGTATATGATTATATATTATCTAAAATGTAAACATATTAATTTGATAACTCAAATCAAAGCAAACAAAAATATATCTTTTAATTTTTTTCCTACTTTTTAGTTGGTATCCTCATCTGTTCGTCAATTAGCAAGTCGTACATATGCCGGCGTTTCACATGTATCAGCTACCGGACCGTCTTTTACGCTTACTGAAGATCAAAAGCAAATGCAAGACTTAGCGCGTAAATTTACCCGAGAAGAAATTATACCTGTAGCAGGAAAATATGACAAAAGCGGAGAATATCCTTGGGATATAATTAAGAAGGCATGGTCATTGGGTCTAATGAATAATCACATACCACAAGAGCTTGGCGGTCTTGGTTTGGATGTGTTCACTTCATGTGTGATTGCAGAAGAACTCGCTTATGGTTGTACGGGTATTATGACTGCACTTGAAGCTTCTGGACTTGGTGTAAGTATTTTTTTACAAAAGACATATATAATTATTTTTCATTTAAAGAGATTATTATAATACATTGACCTACTTTACAAATAATTTACAACCCAGACTAACCCAGACTTATAATTACTATAAACAATTTATTACAAGTAATTTGAACAGATAATTATGACATATAATTATTACGAATAATTATTATTACATATTTATTAGAATACGTACGTTTATTAGTAGAGTTAAGTTAATTAAACTTTAATGGTTTTAAATTAAGTATTCATAATTAAAATAAATTGTTGGCATTAACTTTTTTATAGTATAAAATATTATTGTAACCTATATCTACGATAAAAAGTCCCAATATCAATTACTAAATTAATTGATTTAGACATTGAAAACGTTCTCATTACTTTGACTTATGGAATTACTCTTATGTAGATATACCCTTCACACAAATAGTGACGCTATAAATCAATTATTATTTTAAAATTAACTGCAATGGATGGCATTAATTGTGTGTATATAAATAGAACACAACATTTTGTTTTTAAAATATTT